AAGTGCCCTCAGAGCGAGGGGCTGAGCGTGTTGGGTTTCTGCTGTCTCTGCCAGGGCAGTGCTGGAATGAGCACAGCTCCCCAGGCTCAGTGCTCCAGTGTTACCGGCTTGGCTTGAATGTGCATTGGTCTTTTCCTGAGCTGGATCAGTAGCCCATGGGCATTGCAGTGCCGACAGCAGAGACTCCTGAGCCCTGCAGCTCTGTGCCCTGTGCTGCACCGTGCTCAGCTGCCTCTGCACTGTTCTGCTTCCCACGGCCCTTCCTCTCCCCTTCCCTGCTTCCTTTCTCCCAAGCATGTTGTCAGGAGACCTGGAGATACCTGCAGCACCGGCCGGACCAGCCAGGGATATGGCACCTGGGCAGAGATACTTGTGGGGCAAGGAGTGACGCTGCTGGGTGCGCAGAGGCTCGTGCTCCACTTTGCTTTCCCACTGTGAGGTGAACTGACAGCTGTGGGCCGCTCAGGAGCCGCACAGATCCCGAGCCGTGGGGCAACTGTGTGCTCACCAGCAGTGCTGGCACACAGGGGCTGTGCAGCCATGTCTCAGAGTCTATGTTTGTCACCCTGCATTAGTAGGTCACATCTCAGAGCGAGCCCTCCTTCCCCTCTGTGCTGGCCATGCACTCACAGCATGTTCTTGGCACCTGCTGACCTGGCAGTGCAGGGTGCTCACTCTGACAGTGCCTGGCTCGCTTTCCCCCTGCAGCCTGATGCCCTGCACCACAGGACAGGTGCTCAGCACCCCGGTTTGTGCCCAGGCCCTGAGATTTTCACCTCATGCGAGGGAGCTTTGCTAGGCTGTGTTGGTGCACATGTGGCTGTTGTACAGTGGGAGCACGCTTGTGACTTGTGCCATTAATGAGGCCCATCTGTAAGGTGTCTGCAGCTTTAGGGTCTTGCTCAAGCCTCAAGCACGTGTGTGTCGCAGAATAACATTTTAGTGCTGGATTTTCTATGGTGGTTTGTACGTTTTTCCCTAACTGGTCTCACTGCAAACGTGCTAATGGAAAGGTGCGCTTCTTCATGCAGCTGAACTCTGCAGAAGCAATCAGCAGCGATGTCTGAGCAGCTGCTTCCTCGTGAGATCAGCATGGCTTGGGGTGGGTTGTTGGAATTCCACCCTGCTGCCATGCCAGGCCTTCAGCACCGTGTCACGGCAGGGCTGGAGCTCAGGATCTGCCAGATAACCTCAGATGCTTCCAGTGGGGCCTGCCCCATCCACGTCCTGATGCCAGTCTCATTTCCCCTGCGGGTGCCACAGCTGCTGTCAGTGTTAGCTGGGGATGTTGAGCTGGAGGTGCTGTTCTGCACAGAACTGCACGCAGTGATGGTAGGAGAGGCTGTGGGTTCAGACGGCGTTCCTTTGCTGGTGCTGCTTCACCTGCAGCCTGGCTGAGCCTGAAGGCAGGCAGCGATGCTTTGCTGCAGCATGTGGCAGCCAACGTGTCCGGCACACGAGTTATTGCATGGGGATGGCTGGGCCCCTCTGCTCCCATCCTGCGTGGAGCCTCACATTGTCCTCGAGGAGCCCCTGTTGCTCCGGTCTCGGTGTGGGAAGGTGCGTGTTTGGCAGCCGCTACAAAGCGCTTCTGTCCATCCTGCAGCACATTGTTCTCCATGGGCTGCACCACACATTATTCTCGGCCACGGGTCGCCCTCGAAGCCGTCTGGAAGTCCTCACGTCTCCCTCTGCTTCCTCCCGCTGGAGCAATCGGGGACGGTGGTCAGAGCTCGGGGAGGGTCTGAGCAGTGCTGTCCTGTGCTGCGTGTGCCACCTTTCCCTCCCCGCCTTCCTCTCCAAAGCTGGCACCCACACCGGGAGCAGCAGGGAAGTGTTCTGGCCCCATGGGAAGGGCCCTTCCTGCTCCGTCCTTTGCCGCAGCCTAATGGCAGGACGTGAGTCCTCGCCGCTGATTAAACATTTCCTCTGCCAAACGATCTGAGCTCTGTGGAGAGCTGTGAGCGGATTGTGCAGCTCGGGGACCCGGCAGAGCTGAGGCTGTGCTGGTGGAAGCTGAGGCTGCACAGGGTGCTGCAGTTGTTCCCCGGGGCATTAGGAACTTTTTGTTCAGGGTTTTGTTAAAAACACATTGTCAGTGACCGTGGGTTGTGAATAATTCACAGTGAGCCTCTGAGTCCCGCAGGGTCGCAGCGTGGCTGGCTGTCTGCACGCAGAGATGCGCCGGCTCTCCGAACCGCTCCAAATTGAGGTGGCAGCTCTTGCTCTGAAAGCATGCTGATACGATTTTAAAAGCCTGAGTGACCTTAAATCCTGTGATGGCTGTCTTTCGGGATAAATTATTTATGTCACATCTTCAGGGCCGCTCGAGCCCTCGCTCGGAACAGGCAGAAATGTCAGGGCCTGAGCCTGGGAGGGCTGCGCTGGGGTTGAGGAGGTTTGGATGGGAAGAAGGGACAGGAAAAGGAGCGCTGCGAGGCGGGGGTGGCGGGCAGGGAGCGACCGGGGCCGGCCTGGGAAGGCCTCCCCAAACCGGTGCAGCTGCATTCTGCAGCCAACATCAGAGGGTTGGAAATTCCTCTTGATCTGCAGTTCAAAGCCGCTGCCTCCCTGAGGATGGAGCGCTTCATCTCGGCTTTGCAAATGCAGGCTGGCCGCGGAAGCAGCGTGGCTGTGAAATACAAATCTGCCGCAGCGCCCAAATCCCCTGAAAAGCGCGGAAACGGCGTCTGAAGGTCACTGCTAAAAAAAGCCCTCAGCCCGCCGTGAGGAGCAGCAGAATCCAGGGCTGCTGTCGGGAGAAGGCACTGCGCTTCCCCTTGGCGCCCTGCAAAATGCCTGCAGAACGCATCTCAGGTGCTGCGTCCCGACGGGGCTGGGCTGCACGGGGCGAACGCCGGGCTTTGGTGGCACTTTGCAGCAGGGGGTTCTGCCGTGGGGCTGGTGGGACCGCAGCAGCAGGGCTGCTCCCCGGTGGGTGCTGAGCAGTGCTCTGCAGGGCCACCTCGGCTGCAGGGAGTATCTCCAGAGCGATGACTTTTCACACCTCGCCTTCCTCCCGGTGTTCTCACAGCTCTGTGGTTCTTTGCATTTTGAAGGAGAGCCGAAGTGCCAATCCACCCCTCCTGGCTTAGAGACGAGCTCGCTGTGCTTTGATCTCACGGCTGCCTTTCACGCTGCCCTGATTCACGTCTTCCAAATCACTTTCCCTGCGAGCGCAGCTAGCTGCTGCTGCGGCATATGGAGCTCAGCAGAGCTGGGGGAAAGGAGCTGTGGTGCCGAGGAACAAAGGGAGAAATGCAGAGCAGCCGCTGTCTGAGCGGCATTGTTTCAAAGCGCCCGGTTTCCGTAAGGCATACGTGAGACGTTAAGGGGTGGTGAGCGGTGCTGGGAGAACCCTGTGGGGTTTTTTCACCCTTGGAGGCTTTAGCTTGTGTCTCCCTGTCTTTATCAGCCGTGTCTGTGTTCAGGAACATTAAAGATCTCAGCTTTGTTAGAGACAGATAGCGATCGCCCCGGCGCTCCCACCTGGAGGTCTCGGTGTTTCTCATGGTTTGAAGTGGTGGGCGCTGCCATGTGCTGCATTCGGTGCCTCTGGATTTTTGTTTTTCAATGTGACCTCTGCTGCTAATCCACAACGTGAGCAGGGCTGTGTGCTGCAATGAAATGACCTGTTTCTGGGGAATTCGGCTCCACTTTATCCTCAAGCTGCTTTAGCTTAAACTCCTTTCTCGCACTTCTAGGTCAGAGCCTTCATCTGGATGCGGCGTTCAGCGTGGCAGCAGTTCAGGGCCGCGTGAGATAAGGCAGATAATGACTCATGCTTTTCTTTGTAGAAGTGCCCCTCTCTTCAGCTGTGACCACAGGAGGTGACACTGCTATGGGATTTTCCCCACCCGGTCCACCCATGTGGGCAGCTGGGCCCCGCAGCACCGTGCTCCCCATGCAGCGTGTGTCCAGAGTACGTCCGTCTGTCTGGCTGTGACTGAAAGGCAGGGTGAGGTGTGGAGCAGGGCAGACGTGTCTCAGGCAGCTCACGGTGCTGGCACCACGCCTGTGCTGGCTGCTGGCTCCAGCCCGTGACACACGAGTCCCAGTCGGGAGCCCCGGCACGCTGCTCTGCTCACCAGCTGCAGCTGCTGACCTGGTGCTGCAGGCGTGCTCTCACTTGGGCAGGGAAGGAGCACAGGGAAGGAGCTCCACTCGGCCACGTCCCGGCAGCTCCCTGTGGGTGTGTGCCAGGTCTCACCCTGCTGGGTCAGAGCAAGGCGTGCTTTGGGCAGCAAGAGGCCCTCTGGTGTGAGAGATGAGGGCTGGAGCCATGGGCTGGCCAATGGCACTGCGCAAGTGCCAGCAGGGAACTGCTTCCCTCTGCCTCCTGATGTTTTCTTGCAAGGCCGCTTGCAGTTGAGGAGTTTCTCACCCAGCAGAAGAGCTGCTTTTAATTGCAGGTGATTTATGTATTTATTTTCTCATGCCGCAGAGCCCTGGCTGTTGGCCGGAGGGCAGAGGGAGCTGCTGGCATAGCTGTGGGGCTGCAGGGATGTGTCCCTGTGCTCTGCAGTGATATGGAGATGTGGCCTGAAGATGGACCTGATTGTATTTTAGGCTCTGTGTACTGCAGCAGTAGTAAATTGTAGTTTATTGTAGAAGGTGAGAAGGGGTCTGTAAAAGAAATTCACTCGTGTAAATGTGTTGGTGGCTGCTCTGCTCTCATGGCCTGAGGATATGGGATCAGGAGGTGAAAGGTGCGGGTGCAAACCCGCTGTGCTCCTGCTTGGTCTTGGTGTCATGGGTTTCCCTGAGGCTGGAGCTGCTGCTGGGGAGAGGGACACCTGAATGTCCTGGGGTGCACGCGGGCCTCCCGTCACTGCATTCCTATTCCCTGAGCTGCCAGGGTGGCACAACCCATGGTGCTGCTGTCAGAGGCACGAGCCCAGCCTGCACCTCCTGGTGATTCAGGCTCCTTCCTGTCCCTGCTCTGAGTCCATCCCGGACTTGGGAGCTGCACTGCTGAGAGCTGCTCGGGCTGAGCTGCGGAGGGGATGGCTGTGTTTGGGAATCAGGTGGGTTGCAATGTAATTAGATCTGTGCTGGCAGTGCTTGTGTGGCTGCTGGCTCACGCAGACACCTTCGAGGGCATTTGTGGGGTTGGTACAGTGGAGTTGGACACAGTATGCTGGCTGCCATCTGAGCTTGGCACAGCAGCAGTGGGTGGGAATGTGATGGAGCAGGAGCCCTGTGTCCTCTGTGTGGCTGTATTCCCAGGTGCAAGGTGTTTCTCCTCTTCTTTCCCCTCAGCCTGACTCTTCTTCTCTTCCCATAGGCATGAATGACCAGGCTCACCCCCAGCACTGAGCAGCCACAGCCGGGCCACCATGCCAATCCCACCCCCGCCGCCGCCGCCCCCCGGCCCCCCGCCGCCCCCCACCTTCAGTCAGGTAAGGGCTTCCCTCGGCATGCTGCCATCTGTCCATGTTACTCGTACCAGCCTGGCTGTGCACTGCGCTGGGCTTGCTGTGCATGCGGGTGAGCTGCTGCTAAGAGGCTTCTCATCTGCAGGCGAACACAGAACCACCAAAATTGAGCCGAGAGGAGCAGCGCGGCCGTGGAGCCCTCCTGCAGGACATCTGTAAAGGGACCAAGCTAAAGAAGGTGACACAAATCAATGACCGGAGCGCCCCGATCCTAGAGAGTGAGTACCTCCCTGGCACGTACCCCACATCGGGTGCTGCTCTGCACTTCAGGGTGGGCTCTGAGCCCTCAGCTGTGTACTCACCAGTGGCTCCTGGTTGGAGGAGCCAATTACACCAAGTATAACTTATGTGCCTCTGTCCTTCCAGAGCCCAAGGGCAGCGGTGGCAGCAGCTACGGCTCCAGCTCAGCTGCGATCCAACCCAAAGGTGGCCTCTTCCAAGGGGGTGTGCCCAAGCTCAGACCTGTGGGAGCAAAGGACAGCTCAGGTAAAGGCCCTCAGAACGTGGTTAGTGAAGGGCTCCCTGGATGGAAGGTCCCGAGCAGGAAAGGGTTGAGGATCTGCCGTGTTTGCACGGGACATTCAGCTGGTTAGCAGCAGGCACCCCAAACTGCCAGCCATGCGTGGCCGCAGACGAGCGGTGTTCTCTGTGCCACGGCATCCCCAGCACACCGCCCTCCTCGCAGCGCTGCGTGCGCTGCTGAACGCTTCTCACTGCTATTTTCTGTGGCAGCCTGCCTTCCAGCAAGGCAGCAAGCGGTGAGAGAGGAGCTGCGTGTGGCTGTGTGCAGTGCCAGCTCCCTGCCTGTGCCAGACAGCACTCCCCGCGGTCTGGCCCTCGCCGCAGAGCGGGCAGGCTGCCCCGAGCAGGGGCTGCGCCGTCCCTTGCTGTGCCTGGTGGCTCACTCCGCTTTCCCTCCCCACAGACAGCTCCGGGAAGCAAACCCTGCAAGTCCCCGGCTCCAGAGCTGCTGCCCCCAGGCCCCCGGTGCCGGCCAGCAACAGCCGACCTCAGGATGATTCTGACAACAGCCGAGGCTCTCCGCCGGAGCTGCCACGCACGCAGCGGCCGTCCCTTCCAGACCTCTCCCGGCCCGGCACCGCCGGTGGCACCGGCATGAAGCACAGCTCGTCTGCACCGCCGCCTCCCCCCCCAGGCCGCCGTGCCGCCGCGCCGCCCGCCCCCCCGCCTGCACACGGCCCCAAGGTCTCCTCCTACAACCGGGAGAAGCCCCTGCCGCCCACCCCGGGACAGCGAGCGCCTGCTGGCAGGGACGGACCCCCCGCCCCCCCACCCGTCAAGCCCCCGCCCTCCCCAGTCAGTATCCGAACGGGGTCGGGGGCTCAGAGCCAGTCCCTCGCTCCCCCACCGCCCCCTTACCGGCAACCCCCCGGCGTCCCCAACGGCCCTTCCAGCCCCATCAACGAGTCTGCCCCGGAACTGCCGCAGAGGCACAACTCCCTGCACAGGAAGACGCCGGCCCCCTTGCGGGGTCTCGCACCGCCGCCGCCTGCCTCGGCCTCCCCGTCCCTCCAGAGCAGCCGCCCCCCGCCGCCAGCCCGGGACCCCCCCAGCCGTGGTGCAGGTGAGAACTCTGCCCTTCTGAGCCTGGTTGTGGCTGGGCTGTTTGTGGCTGGTGGGAGATGCCCAGGGAGCCGTTGGAGCTGGGAAGCAGTGAGGTGGTTCTTCCTGCACGGGGCAGTTGGCATTGAGATTGACCCAGGGGTGGCTTCTGGGTTCTCTCGTTCTGTTGACAGCCCTGGTTGTGCCTGGCTCTTTTTGTCTGTTGGCAGTAGGTTGTGGCTGTGCAACTCAAGCACAAGTGGCCACCGTATCCTCCTGGGGTGGGAGAAGAGCATGCTGGAACTGCATGCTGTGGCTTCTCCCCTGAGCTTCCTAAATGTTGCTGGGGCAGTGACAAAAAGCTGCAGCAGAGCCTCAGGAATGCTCCAGCTCCATTCTGTGTGCTGGATTTGGCACTGCGAGGTTCAGAAACCCTGATGCAGGCCTGGTGTCTCATGTGTGCACACCAGTGGTGCTGTGGCCTCCTCCCAAGAGGTGACTGTGGAGTCCCCTCCTTGTCCCACTGCTGGGAGAGGGGACAGTGTTGTCCTGGTGCCCCTGCCTGCTGCTGAGCTCTATGTCCAGCCCGCAGCTCCAGCCTGGGCCCCTGCCAAGCCGCCGTACTTCAGGCTCTGCCAGAATCCTCTGCTGAGTTACGGCTGGCGGTCCGCTGCCTTAGTCTGTGTGTAATTAGCCTAACAAGGAGCATGACCTGCCACTGTACTTTGGTAGGAATGAGGGGACAGTCAGCAGGGCCGCTGTTTTGGTAGCCTCTGGGCTGAGGGGCAGGGCTGGGGGCTCATGCCCACCTGGCCCTGTTCCCCTCCACCCTTGGAGCTGGTGGGGAGGATGTCCCTGATCCCGCTGCAGGGCCGGGGGGTGTCGCCGTGGGTCCCCTTGTCCCACTGTGCAGATGCTGACCTCGCTCTCCTTGCAGCCCCGCCACCCCCGCCACCCATGCTGCGAAATGGGGGGCGTGATGCCCCCCCGCCCCCACCCCCCTACAGACTGCACGGTTCTACTGAACCCCCCAGCCGCGGGAAGCCGCCCCCACCGCCCACCCGGACGCCTGCTGGGCCACCCCCACCCCCACCGCCAGTGCGGAACGGGCACCGGGATTCCATCGCCACTGTCAGAGCATTCCTGGGTGAGTGGGGCCGTGTGCTGGGGGAGGGATGGGGGGAGCCTTGGGGGCTGAGTCCTTCAGCCTTGGCTCCCATCCGCAGCCCGCTCCTGACCTGCCCAGGTTTTGTTTTTCTCCCCTTTTTTCTGTAGATGACTTTGAATCCAAATACTCATTTCACCCCGTCGAAGACTTTCCAGCCCCAGAAGAGTATAAATACTTCCAGAGAATCTACCCCAGCAAAACAAACAGAGGTAAGGGCGGAGCGTCCCGTGGTCCCCACCATGCCCTGCCGCGCTCCGGGGACGGGAGGTGGCAGCAGAGCCACCCGCTGTCCTTGCCCTGCTCCCAGCCAGGCATTGTGCCTGGCTGCGTTGGGCTGCTCAGTGCCGTGGCTTTCCCCTGGGCTCCACGTGTGCTCCTGGGGACACTGGCTGTGCTGGCAGCAAGCTGTGCCCCCGTGCTGAGGGCGTTTGGTGCTGGAGTGGCTCTGCAGGGACTGCTCTGTGAAGCTCTGGTGTGGGGCAGATGGGTTTGGGAGCCCCCCACTGCCATGGCACTGCCTGTCCCCATTAGCCCCTCTTGGATGCGGCACATCCCTGCATGGAGCGCCCTTGCCGTGCTGCTGCAGTGTGCCAGCCCTGCGGATCCCGGGGGGGACTCTGGGGAGAGCGGGATGCTCGGTTATTTTTAGAGCCATGAATGTTTAATGTGGATTTGAAAGGCCCCGAGCCTTCTGTGCGTGCCGCAGCGGCTGCTGCTCACATCACAGCTCTGGAGTGGCGCGAAGGGGGGGAGGTGTGCGGGGGGAGGCTGGGGGGGCAGGCCTGGTTTCACCGTGCTTTCTGCTTGCAGCCACGCGTGGGGCCCCTCCTCTGCCCCCCATCCCCAGGTGAAAGCGAGCTGTGCCGGCGGTCGGTCCTGAGCACAGCCACAGAGCTGCTCCCCCTTCTTCAGACGGACCCTCCCCACCTCCCTGCCCCCAGGAACCTGCATGAGAAACTCCCGGCACCTTCAGCTCTCCCAGGACAAGCGGACACCCCCGGCCCACGCTCAGCACAAACCCACACGGCTCCTTTCCCCGCAGCCCCACGTTGGACCCCGCGCTCCAGGCAGCGGGCAGGGCTGGGGGCAGGCAGCGACTGCTGGGTCGGACACGGGCAAGAGCCGTGCCTGGGGGCCACGTGGGCTCAAAGCAGAGCGGGGCAGCAGCCGGGCTGTGGTGGCCGTGGGATGGAGCCAGCAGAGCCTCTGCCCCAGTGCTGCGAGCTGCGATTTCGTACAAGAGCTGCTGGGAGCGGGGCTGTGCCCCCACCTTGGGTCCGGGCAGGGCGTGCAGCCGCCTGGTAACACCGGGCACCAAAAGGAAGCGTCAGCTGGTGGACGTGGGCTGTGTGCAGGGGGTCTGCGGCCACGGGGGCTCTGCGGGCTGTTACATGGCGGGGTGGGGGGGCGGGCTGGGGCTGCGCGCCGTTTTGCCTTACACGGACTGCTGGCTCCGGGCTCCCGTTAACCGTAATTACTGATCTATTTTGTACGTTCTAAAGCTGTACTGTAGGAGGAGGGGCTGCGGCGGGGTACTAAACCCTCACCTTTAACCGTTCTTCGTTCGTTCGTTTGTTTTCTACGACGCTGGAACCTTCCCCAGGTGGGAGCGGGGCCCTGCACGAGGGGGGGGCACCGTTTGGTTTAAATAACGGCAGAAAAAGCCCTCGAGCGCTCGGCTCAGCCCCGGGGGGGGGGAATGGCGGGGGGAGGGGCTGAAAAAGGGAGAGGGGGAAAGCCGTGAGCTTGGAACTGCGTTTAAATAAAAGTAATAAAGGTGCAGCGGTGTCGGTACTGGGGGCGCGGGGGGGTAGGGCCGGGGGGGCTCGGGACCACGGAAGGATGGAGATGGAGAAGGAGATGGAGAAAGGGTTAGGGCTCCCTCCCGGTGGACTACATTTCCCGGTATGCATCGCGCCCCCGCCTGCGCCTCCCGGCATGCCCCGCGCGCTGACTCCCATTGGCTGCTCGAAGCACCGACTCGCCGGGGGTTTGGCGCGAGATCTCGCGATTGGCGCCGCCGCCGTGAGCCGCAGCCAATGGAGCGGCGGGGGCGGGGCCTGGCCGAGCTGGTGGCGGGAAGTGCGGAGCTGAAGGCTGAGTTGGCGCGAGAGGGTGAGCGGGGCGGCGGGCGCTGCAGCGGGGGCGGGAAGGGGGGCCGGAATGGGGGCACGTGGGCAGCAGGGCTGTGCGGATGGGGGGGCAGCGGTGTGGGGTCACGCTGTAGGGCTGGGACGTGTGGAGCGGCGCTGGGAGCCGTGCGGGGCGGCGGCGCGGGGCTGGAGGGGCTGCGGGGCGGCTCGGGGGCGGGCTGCTTCCCGCCGTGACCGCTTCCATCCCCGCAGGGCCGCAGCCATGTCCGTCGCCCGTCCGCAGCGCCAGGCCACCATCGCCTTCCCCCGGCGGCGCGGTGCCCGCTGCGGTGCCGCTGTCCCGGCCAAGGCCCCTCCGGCTGACCCCGACCCCGCGGACCCCGCTGCCCAGCGCCTCTCGCCGGTGTCCCCGCGCCCCGCAGAGCCCGGCCCCGCGCTGTCACCCCGGAGCACAGCGCTGCCCCTGAGCCCCCGCAAACGCCTGGGTAAGAAACGTTCGCCTCCTGAGACCCCCGGGCGGAGCGGCCCCGGCCCTGGGCACCCTGATGTGCGGCTGCGGTGCCGCCGGTCACACGGAGCTTCCCTTCTGCAGGCGACGACAACCTGTGCAATGTGCCCCACGCCACGCCCTGCTCCCCGGCCAAGCGCTGCAAGGAGAACCGCGGCTGCCGAGTGCTTTTCGGGGACCCCACGGCCTCCCCAGCAAAGCAGAACGCCCCGGGGCCGTCGGTGCTGCAGCGCGGGCAGGAGACGCCGCAGGACTCGGGGCGCAGCACAGCGCCCACCCGCAGCCGCCTCTTCAGGCAGGAAGGTGGGTGCGGGTGGCAGCGGGACGCGTCCCAAAAGCTGGGGACAGCCTCGGCCCGTTGCCCGCCCTCGCCCCGCTCATTTTTCCCACCCCTGCTGCAGGCACGTGCTACCAGCAGGCGAAGCGCGTGCTGCACAGCGCGGTGCCCGAGCGCCTGCATGGCCGTGAGCGGGAGGCGGCCGCCATCCGGCAGTTCCTGCGGGAGCACGTGGCTGCGCGCCGCCCCGGCAGCCTCTACATTGCAGGAGCGCCCGGCACCGGGAAAACGGCGTGTGTGAGCTGCGTGCTGCGCGACTGCGAGGTGTGTGAGCATCCCGTAACCCCGCCCCTGGGGGCTCGGAGTCCGTCGCATGGCTTTAGCCCTGGTGCTGGTTGGGATTTGGGGTCTCATCCCATTCTCCTGGTGAGGACTTTGGGTCCTGACCCTAATTCTAACTCTGCTCCTAGGAGGGGGCTCAGGATCCAGTTGCCTGCCCCAGACTCTGCTTTTTGAAGGCTTTGGGTCTGCCCCCTTTCCCTAATCCAGTTTCTAGGGTGGGCTTTGGGGCCCCTGGTCCTTGGGAGAGTTTGGGAAGAATCTCATTCCCTGCCCTGACTGCTCCTGAGTGTGGGTGGGTTTTGGGGTCCCGTCAGCTGCCCTTAACTGCAGTCCTGGTCTTTGCAGTGCCTCCTGCAAGAGGCTCAGAGTGAGCACATGGGGCTCTCCTATGGGACTTTATAGGGTGGGCAGTGGGACGCAGACACCCCCATGTGACACTGCCCCATCCCCGCAGGACGAGCTGGCGGGCAGCCGCAGCGCGGTGCTGAACTGCATGGCGCTGAGCAGCGCCCACGCCGTGTTCCCAGCCGTGGCGGAGCAGCTGGGGCTGCCCACGGCCGGGGCGGGCGGCAGGGAGCTGGCACGGCGGCTGGAGCAGGCGCTGACGGCCAAAGGGCCCATGCTGTGAGTCCCCTCCTGGGTTGGGGGGAGGGGACACGGCCGGGGCGGGTGTCCCGGTGTCCCCACGGGGCTGCGGGCTGACCGTGTGCCCCGCAGGCTGCTGGTGCTGGATGAGATGGACCAGCTGGGCAGCAGGGCGCAGGATGTGCTGTACACCATCTTCGAGTGGCCGCGGCTGCCCGGCTCCCGCCTGGTCCTCATCGGTGAGCACAAGCTCCCAGCCCCTATAAATCGGGGCTCCACAGCCCCAAAAACGAAGCCCCCTGCCTTCCTCACCTCGCTGTGCATCGTAGGGTTGGCCAACGCTCTGGATCTCACCGAGCGCCTGCTGGCACGCCTGCACACCCCCCCACTGCCTGCCCCCCGCCTGCTGCGCTTCGCCCCGTACAGCCGTGAGCAGCTGACGGCCATCCTGCACGGCCGCCTGGAGCAGCTGCAGGGCAGCCCCGTCCTCGAGCCCAGCGCCCTCCAGTTCTGTGCCCGGAAGGTCTCGGCTGTGTCCGGCGATGCGCGCAAAGCGCTCGATGTCTGCAGGTGGGTGTGGGGCTGTGGGGGCCTTTCTGACCCACACCGTTTGGTGATGCTGGGATGGTCCCAGCCGTGCTGCACAGCCCCGTCAGTGCTCCCCAGAGCTTCCTGCTGTGGAGCTTCCCCACTTCTCGCAGCCAGGGATGTGGGGAGGACGCAGCTGTGTGACATGCTGGGGAGAGCACAGTGTTGTGGCGTGGTATGGGGGGTCCGAGCCCATCTCTGGGTGCTGATGGGGTTTTGCCCTCAGGCGTGCCGTGGAGCTGGTGGAGCTGGACGTGCGGAGCCAAACCCTGCTCCAGCCACTGCCTGGTGGTGAGTGACTGACCCCCAGAGGGGGCACTGACCCTGTGGTCCCACCTGGGGGCTCTGTGCCTCTGCCCATCTTGTAGTGCCTGAAACCCTTCTGCCCCTCTGCAGGTGACCCCACAGCCACGCTGTGCCCCGTCCCCAAGAGAGTGGGGCTCCCGCAGGTGTCCCGTGTCCTCTCAGAGGTGTTTGGGGACAGGATGGCACCAGGCAGCCCTGGCGATGCGTTCCCGCTGCAGCAGAAGGTCCTCGTGTGCTCCCTGCTGCTGCTCGCCCGGCACCTGCGCACACGCCAGGTCGCACTGGGCAAGGTGAGTGGTGGCCGTGGCCTCCTCAGGGTCCCCAGTGTCCTTTGGGTTCTCCACAATCTCCATCATCCCTGAAGTCCTCTATGTCCCCGAGGTTCCCAGTGTTTCAGGGTTCTCTGTGGTCCCCATGATCTCCATTGTCCCCCCCTGAGATCCCCATGGTACCCAATGTCCCCTTGAAGTCCCTGGGCTCCCCGGTGTCCCCTGGCTGCACTGACACTCCCTGCCCCCCCAGCTCCACGACGCCTACAGCCGAGTGTGCCGGCAGCAGCAGCTCCCTGCAGTGGACCAGGCGGAGTGCCTGTCCCTGGTCACCCTGCTGGAGGCCCGCGGTGTGCTCGAGCTGAAGCGTGCCAAGGACACTCGCCTCACCAAGGTAGGGGGGACAGCCCTGGGGACGGCCCCTGCACGCCGGCCCCGTGGTGCTGAGCGCTGTGTCCCCCCTCCAGGTGTCCCTGAAGGTCGAGGAGGAGGAGGCCCAGCACGCACTGCAGGATGCCACGCTGGTGGGCAGCATCCTGGCACGGGGGCTGCTCTAAGCCCCTCCCCTGCCCCACGGCCGCTCAGTGGTTTGGTGGCCCCATGGGTGTGTGGTGGCACTGCAGATGCTCGGCACAATTCCCACCCTGGAGGCAATCGTATGCAGTTTTATCGTTATTATTTTATTAATTGCTGTTAATGGGAGGGTGGTGCCTGCTGCAGCCCCCCGTGGTCCCCCGGGCCTTGGTGAGTTCCCCCACTGGGTGTGGGGTTGGCTCCGTCGGAGCTGTGCAGGGACCCCAAGGTGGGGGGGATGCCTGGGGGTCCCCCCATCTCCTGGCCCTAATAAAGTCCTCCTTAATTGTGCTGCTGCTGTGGGCTTTGTGTCCCCATCCCGTGGGCGCAGGGCTGGCCCTGCTTGGCCTCTCAGCCCCCCCGCCCCCCCTCAGCTCCTCCACTTGTGTTAAATAACGGTGGCGCTGACCTAATTCTGCAGCTTCCCGGCTGCGGGGGGGCGTGGGGCTGCAGTGTTGGGGGGGGCTGCAATCTCTGGATGCCCCAATCCCTGCCATTGCCCATCCCCATCCAGACACTGTTCCCCCCACCTGATATTCTCCCCTCCCCAGGCCAGGGGTGTTAGGGTAAGGGGGGACCCAGAAGGTGATGCTCTCCTCCTGTAGGGCTGATCTGTGTTCCTGCCATGTGCAGCCGTAGGGTGTGTGTGGGGGGGGGGCAGGTTTTGATGCCTCCTCTTTACTCCCTGTCCCAGGACTTTGTGTCCTTTGTCACCTGTCCCCATGCTGTGGGGCTGGCTGGGGCAAAACCCTCTGGAGGGGGGGTGTCCCCATGTGCCCCCCCAGCCCGTGACGCAGCCCAGGCGGTGGCGGTGCCTGGAAGGAAGCGGTGGCCGCGTGTGACCGCAGTGACGCAGCTGTGATGCGGGTGGCACCGCGCTGCCGTGGGCCCCCCCATGGCACTGCATGAAGATGGCACAGGGGATGTGAGCAGAAGGCCGCGGCCACCTGTGCCAACTGGCACATCTTGGGATGTCCTTGCAGTGCCACAGGGATGGGGACAGCGCAGGGAGCGTGGCACCCACCGCCGTGCGCCCACGTCCCCCCGCTCGGTGCTCTGTGTCTGTGCCCACGGGCATGGCGGGGGCCTCGTGTCCCCTCGCCGGTGTCCCCAGAGCCTCGCTGTCCTCCCTTGCACTCTCCTTACATAAGCAGCCACGTGGCTGGGCACGGTCCCCTCCTGCTGCGCTGTCACCGCCGGCACCCAGATTCCATCTGACAGCCGCTTCCGCTCCGCTGCGCCCGTGATGGGCACTGGGGACGGGGGGCACAGCACGACCCCACCTGACCCCGCGTGGGGACGTGGGCACCCACCCCGCGGACGCATCCCATAGGGGCACAGGGCCGGCCGTGGCCCCCCGGTGCTGTAGGGTTGGGGGCGGCTTGGGGGGGGCCCAGCCGGGCGGGGGGCCGCGCGCATCTGGCAGTGATTTGGTGCATTCCTCCGGGCTGAGCGCATGCCGGCGGCCCGGCCTGGCTGTGGTGTGTGGGGAGGGGGCTGCAGCGGGACCGGCCCAGCGCTGCTGTGTGCGGTGGGGAAACTGAGGCACTGCGGGGTGTGACGGCAGTGCTGCGCAGCGCTGCTGCTCCCCTGTCCCAGCAGGGTGGCTGGGCAGCGCGCGGTGGCAGTGGCTGCTGAGGCCCGGTAGTGGGAGCAGCCCCACGATTCATGCACGTCCGTGTGTCCGCACGTCCGTGTGTCTTCATGTGCCTGTGTGCTGTGTGCCCATGTATCTGCCAGTCCATGTATCTGCCTGCCCGTGTGTCTGTTTCTACCTGTCCGTGCGTCCCTGAGCCCAAATTCCCATCGTAGTTCCTGCAGACCCCATTGCTGCTCCCGGCGTGGGCTGTCCGCGTCCCTGCAGCCCCGGAGGCAGCTCAGGGCCCCCCAGGACCCCACCAGCCCTCCCCGGTGTCCCAGCTGCCCCCCTCCCTTCTGCCTGTCCCCTAGCGCCGTCCCCCAGAGGCCCGGCCACGGTACAGCCCCCCCCCCCGTGCTCGTCCTGTCCCCCTGGGTGACCCCCCCGCCTCCCTGGGGAGGCCATGAGGTCCCTCCTCCCCCGTCGCGGGGGGGATCTGTCCCCACCAGGCCCTGAGTGAGTCGACGGGGAGCCAACGGAGGGAGCGGGATAGGGGAGGAGGGTTTGGGGGGGGAATGAAGCAGAAGACGCGGCCCCTTTAAGCCCGCGCGGCCCCTTTAAGCCGCCCCCCCCCCGGGCGCGGCGCGCGCACCCACTTTCTCCCCTTCCGCCTTTCCCGCGACTTCAAAGCGCTCCAAGCAGCGCCGCCCCGCCCCCCGCGGCGCCCCATTGGCGGGAGGGGCGGGGCCGGGCAGTGGGGGCGAGTGAGCGCGCGGCGGGGGCGGGGCCGGGGAGGGGGCGTGGCTCCGGGCGGTGGGCGGGGCCGGCAGGAGGCGGGGCGGCGCGCGCCCTCCCGCCCTCTCTCCGCCGCCGCCGCCGCCGCCGCCGCTGCGCCCCGGGCTGAGCCCCGCCCGGCCCGGCCCGGCCCAACCCCGGGTAAAGTTTCCCCCTCGAGCACATGACTCGCGATGGCCGCTGCCTCCTCGCCTTGAGCTCTTCCCTTTCGCCGTTCCGTCGTTCTTCGGCTCCGTTCGGGTCGCCGCTCGCCGCCATGCAGCCGCCGTTACCCGGAGCGTCCCGGCCGTGAGCGCCGCGCGCAGGTACCGCTCCCGCTGCATTGTGTTCCGGGGGGGGGGAGCGCGGAGCGTCGCTGCGTTCCGCCCGCCGCGGCCCCGTGCCGGGCTGACCCCCCCCCCAGCGCCCCCGGCGGCGCTGGGTGCCCCCCCATAAAGGGGGTCCTCTGGGAAGGGGGGTTCCGTGCGGAGAACGGGGTGCTCCGAATGGGGGGGGGTACCGGGATCCCCCCGTGGTTCGTTAAGGTTTTGCTCCCCCATTTTTTCCTTTTAATGATAAGGGGGGGGAGCTGCTCCGGGTCTCCCCCCCCCCTTTTCCCCTTTCTGGCTCTCGGGTTGCAGACCCGCTCGCTTCTCTCGTTCTTTTTTTTGCACTGGGGGCTCCTCCTGGGATGGGTGCCGCCACCCCCCCCCGGCTCCCATCCAGCGCCCAAATGAAGGCTGGTGGTGTGGGGGTGTCCGTCCCTCTTAGCGGTGTGTTTGGGGGCTCAATGGGAGCAGGGTGCTGAGGACCCCCCCAGGATTCATTACGGTTTTGCTCCCTTTCTGCCCCCCCCTCCCAGCCCCTTTTATTCCTTTTAAGATTCGGGGGCTTCTCTTGGCTTGGGTGCTCCAGGCCCCCCCCAGCTCCTACAGGGCTGGGACCTCCCCCCGTTCTCATAGGACATCCGAATTAAGGCTGGGGGGGTCCCTTCCTTCCCGCTGTGGATGTGGGTGCTGGAGGAGGGGGTGCAGTGGGAGCTGAGTCCCCAATCCCAGCTCTGGGCTCTGAGTGCCGCCCCCCCCCCCGGGCCCCCTCCTGCCGCAGCCCTCCCGGCACCGAGGGGTAGGAGGGGGGGTGGGGGGGGCACGCAGCCGCCGCTTCCCCTTTTTTGGGGGGAGTCGTGGGGAGGTGCAGGGCGCTGCCTCCGCCCCGGCTGCGTGGGTCGGGCAGTGCCGGTGCGCGGGGCCGTTTGTGTGTGTTGGGGGGGGGGACACCCCCGGGTGGGGGTCCGGGAGGGCGGCGCGCGGTGTCTGCGGCACTTCCTGGCGGGGGGGGGGGGCGGTCCCGCGGAGGAAGCCATCCCTCTGCCCGGCTGACAGCGCTGGTGGGCGGCGGGGGCCGGGGAGGGGGTCCGGCTGCTCCCACCCCCCCTCCGGCACACAGCAGCAGATGCTCACTCAGGCAGGGGCCGCGGAGGGGGTGGCTGAGACCCGGCCAACTCCACACAGCAGTGCCGGGGGGGGGGGC